TGCCAAGCAGAGACAGCACCTCTACGACAACACACGCAGCACTGCATTTGTACAAGCCTAGCACACCAGTAGCAGATTTAGTTTTTGTAAGAGTTTTACGGCACTTGAAAAACAATAAGGTCATAGAACTGCCAGAAGATGAGGGGTGTTACAAGAGAGTAACAAACACAAAAAAAGAAGGAGGGGGAGATAAAGACGATAGACGTTTGATAGGAAAGAAGAAGCAAAAACCACACCAGAGCACCCGCCAACCACCCACCTGAGTAGCAGTACAGTAGCAGTACTGTAATGGTCAATGGAAAGGGGAAAAGAAAAAGTACTTAGAAAAGGAAAGAAAAACACACCCAAAAAAAGGGAGATCATGCCAATAAATTAGTTCACACACTAATGAACAAAAATTAGTACTTGTTTAGTTAAGAACGCAAAAACTTAAGTTTTCAAACCAAAGGGGTTTAAAGAAAACAAGTTCACACATCCTAAAAAATTTAGATTCCAATTGCTCAATAAACCTATTGAAAAAAAGAAAAATTCTTCACATAAAGTTAGGGTGATTGGTGGGTGCTCTGGTGTGGCTTTGGTAACATCTGTAGCCTTCAGCACTTATATGACCTAATTATCTTGTAAGTGCCTTAGCTCTTTAAAGCCTGAGTTTTTTAAAACCGTTTCCCGCAATTTTTTCTACAGTCACCTCCACCTGGCCCACTATGTCTCATTACAACCCCAAAAGACTGCCTCCAACTTCTTGCGGAAACAAAAGCTTAGTCATTACTAAAAAAACAACTTGGATCGGAATTGGTTCAGAAAAACAAGCAAAAACTAGCACTTAATGAAACGAAACAGTTGTAACTCGTACTGGAGGCTCCCAGCGTCTGATGGGGAACAGGGTTATTACCGCCGGACGCTCCAAACAGTCCGATGGGGTTTAAAGAGTTCAAACTGACTAAACTATAACATAAAGCTGAAAAGCTTTCAATCAAAGTGCCGAAGAGTAGAGGTTTTACTGGAAAGTTCCACACAAAGAAAATCTGGAGGAGAGATAAGGTTAAAAAGGAATATTTTGTGTTTGATAGGAAAGAAGGGGCAAACCAGAACAGAGCACCCGCCGACCACCCACTCGGACACATCAAAACATGAGCACTTAACACCGTCTCATGAGTTCCTCTTCAGCTTGTTGGATGGGAAATTGAATTTTTGGGGTGGGTTGTTTTTTTTCCAATGCAGGTGTCTTTAACCCC